TTAGACGTGACGGGCGCGCGAAGCGCGCCCAGAACGGCTAGTATACTATAAAAGTTGCAAGTGTCATTGCTGTAGGGTATTCTTCTTACAAAGTTAATTTTAGAGTCCTATAAACCTTTTTCGTCAAATATTCCGCAAGTTACCCTTTTTTTGCGATTTAACTCAATATTAATCTCCTGGTTCTCTCCATTTATGTGTAGGTAACTTTAAAAATCATAATGATAAAGGTACAAGAAATTTGGGCATTTTTCTCTCATATCTCTCTTATTCCGACAATTTTTCTTATTTTCTAAGCTGATTATATCATTTGCTCATATTTTTAACCTTACGGCATACCCAAGCACCCTCTATCTGTTTTTCACTCAAGTGTTAATGAGCTTCTAACCAAAATTTGGTCAGATTTTTTCGTTAGTTTATGTTTGAGAGATTATTTTTCAAAATTGGAGAAATTTCCTCTGTAATTTAGATGTGAAACAATTTTTTTGGAAATACATTTTTTCAAAAAAAGTCATGTCACTCTACTGACCTGACACTTATTTTATGAGTTAGGTATTTCTAAGTAAAGAAGCGTTTCTTTTAACTTTTAAGCAACAAACTTGAGGGTGAATTTTCATAATCGGGTTCATGAAATTCAATACAAGTAATTTACTTTTGTTTCATTACTATGTAATTTTGATAGGTGTATTAACCTTGATATCTTTACAATTTTTTACCAGCGTGTTTACGCTTTTTTACTAACAATAAGCTGTCTCTTAGTATTTGCTATTCATAATAATTGTTTAAACGCTCATGTGTTTATTATTTATCCGCATTCTATTATATCCGTATATTAATTAGCTGTCTCTATCTTAAGCCGATTATTTACCTTGGTTTCTCATTTTCTCTCTCTCTCTCTCCTCCATTAATTTATACGTGTCTTATTTGTTTTTTTGTTTCAGAAAAAAGGGATGGTTTTAAGAAAGAGGTATGTTTCGGCTGTTCCGTTCATTGGAGGAATTGCCATCCTTTGTAGTCTGCTCTCGACAGTCATAGCTGGGAAATGTTTGACTGATATCAAAGGTAAATTTTAGCTTGATTTTTTATTAATTCTCCCCTGTGTCTTTTCTAATACCTACGTATACATTCCGCATATATTGTAAATAAGATTTTTTAAGATAAAACATGTTTGAATATCAGTCGCAAGTATATACGTTTTAAGCAATCAGGAATAATCGGTATGAATTCGGATGAATTGGGGGTAGATCAAGATAAAAAGACGAACCCGGGTTTGGGCGGGATGAATGGGAATATATCGGGATGAATTTTGGGATACATCAAGGAAAATTTAAAAAAAAATTAGGGTACATCAGGATGAGATCAGATCCCAGACAAATTAGAGTAGATCAGGCTAAATAAATAAATTAACCACGATTCGTAAATAAATCGAGTAAAATCGGCATTGAAGAGGATATTTCAGAATCCATCATAATAAATCGTGATGTTTTGGAATGAACTGGATTAAGTCCATATAAACTGGGATTTATCACGTCCTATAACTAAACCGAAATGAATGGGAATGAATGTGTCTAGTAGGCTTGATTTATATGTTGTGTGTTTTATATGTTTGACGCGTGTTTCTTGTCTTTGGTGTGGTTCATTTGTTTTTTGTACTCATCATAATTTGTTGTGCTTACTCAGACTCATTTCATGCTCCTAAATTCTAAAATTTTGCGTTTCCAATTCCAATACGTTAGTCTCATTTGACATGGAATCCTATTTTGAAAATTAGAGATACTAGGGAAGCATGAGGAAATAAAATGTATTGTAACGCAAAGTTTCTACCTTCGTCATATCAGATTGATTCAGAACACAATTTTCGGTCTCGGATTTTCATTCCCAGTAGAACTTTTGGAAGAAATGAGACAAGAATAGAGCTGAGAAAAATTTCGGGTCAAGTCGTCGACTTTTGGAGGGTGCAAGCGTATCAGCCATTTTTAAACAAAAATCAATATCAATTCATCGCAGTAAATTGTTTGCACATCGGGTGCAGTATTTTTGACTCTATTTTAAGATTTTTTAAGGTAATTCCTGTCACGGACAGTCAATAGTTGATTCAGAGACTTAAACTTCGATTCTTCCAGAATAATCCACCAACTAATTAATATTTGAATTATATCGATCGTGCTAGGAGTGCATTGCACCAAAACTGAGGAACCACTTTCACAGTAAATTCTTAGTAAAGAAAATTTAATTGTAATGATATTGTACCCTCCTACCGCAGGATATTCCATCGACACATTTAATCGTCAAAGTCTTGAATGAGGAGAGAATTGAAATGCTTTTGAAATCCGGAAAAAACAGTAAGATTAGATGTGAACAGAGGTCCGAGATTTCCGCTCCGAGTTCACAAACAAGATTTAATAGTCGTAATAGGTCAGTCACTCCATTTCCAGATAAAATTATTTTCACAAATAACTTTATTACCTCCTTCGTCTCGCACGATTGATTTGTAGAGCTCATTTATCAACTGTGTCGAATAATCCTTGCAATTTAGATTTCAGTCAATTTTGCCCGTAGATTTCTATATGAAACAATCACGAGCAATTAAAAGGCATCGTAAAATAATGTAAGGACCTCTTGAGCGAGTGAGCCATTTGTGCCCAGGAAAAAGAGCCTTTGTCGACGGTGGAAAATTTTCACGAAAGCATTTTTGTCGAATGAGATCGAGGAGTCGTTGCTAAAAAAAATTTCATTTACTTTTTACGTCTCTGAAGTTAGAAAAGCAGATTTATGTTCTTTTGAGCCAGTATGCCTCAATGAGGCCTCGACATAATATATGAAATGAAGAACTATGCAGCATCAATTCTCTTCAAAATTTCAGGAGGAAAACGAGGTGATTCGGCGGTTGCCATTTTTTGTGTCAGAGCGACGCGCGATATATCGCATCAATTCGCTCCATAATTTCAGCTACTTGTCACTTTTTTGGAATTTTGAGATCGCACTTCTGTTGTCATGAGACTAAAGAATTCATGTACCGAATTTGAGAAAGAAATTCAACCCATGTATTAAAGGCAGGGTTTTTTTTAGAGGAAAAATATCGCATTCGAGTGCAGTTTTAATATCAGTATCGAACGCGATATTTTTCCTCTAAAAAACCACGCCTTCATTACCTTGAATTCCTTTGTCAAATTTGGTTCATGAATTCTTTAGTCTCACGACAACAGAAGTGCGATCTCAAAATCCGAAAAAAATGACAAGTAGCTGAAAATAAGGAACGAATTTATGCGATATATCGCACGTTGCTCCGACACAAAAAATGGCAACCGTTGAATCACCTTAAATAGCGGGAAGTTCGAGAATCAACTCGTAGACAAGGTACAAGTGTTTAAATAAATTAACATTGTATTGGTTGAATGGTAAAATTATAAATGACGTCATATATATAATTTAACTTCCATTCGATTGTGTTATACCATTTATACCAGGAGAAAAAATAGAAAAACGTACCATTTTTGTTTGAATTTTGAAAGAATATATTTCGTATATAGAGGGAACAATTAAGGAAAGTTTTGAAGAAATGACTCTGAAAATTTTTTCGGACAGGATGCTTGTAGCGTCTGAAACAGAGACTCGTGTTTTTTCGATTTCACCGTAGATTTGTACCGTGATGCTACAACGGTCTATCACGGTAAATTTCTGTTCTATACAACTAGCACTAGGCAGACATTTCAGAAAAAAGTTAAGGAGAATTTTCCGGAAAAAAATGGCAGAGTTTTGCGGAAAATTTCGAACAATTTAGCATTCCCTCAAATTAACCGCGAAAATCTTCGAGTAAGAATAATCGGATTTCAGTGCTGTTCCTCGTGCATATTTATGAGACACATCACCACTTCTCCAATTGATCCAAATCTGCACGTGATCGACGCAGCTCGTGCCTTGCATGGAAGTTTCTTCCAGTGGCGAGGCGTGAATGATCGATTATCAATATTTCCCCATTTGAAGCTATGGTAAAGAATCGATTAATAATATGTTCGCTATGAACACTCCGTTTTCGATCATTTTCCATAGGTTTAAATCGCAAATCAATCGATATATCTCAAAACATGCCGCGGCACTGGTTTCTTTCTTTTCAGTGGCGTGGCGTGCTTTGCGATGCATCGATTGATCTGCCATTTAAACCTATGGGAAAGGATCGATAGACAGGGTGTTCGCAACGAACACCTTAAAAATCGATTCTTTAGCATAGCTTCAAATGGGGAAATATCGATAATAATCGATCATTCACGCCTCGCCACTGTTCCTTTCATATGTAATACTTACCGGAGTTCAGAGATTAGAAGTACGAGGACGTAACACTTTTGCCGAAGTTTTTATTGCTTCCTTCTGCGCCCGGATGTATTTCTCTCTAATTGCTAGTCTAAGAAAGAAATTTTCGATTGAGTCTGATGACAGAGGAATTTCGTCTTCACATGACTCGTAAAAAAAATCACAATTATTTAGGAGTGTAGAGACAGTATTTCAGAGAAACCGTTTTGCTATCTTCCCTACAGCGAGGAAAAAATGTTCGGATGTTACTGCTCACATTTGCCAAAAGATGTCTGATGACCGAAATTTTGAGCGACTGGTTTAATACTCCAATCATTGAATTTTAAAAAAATTGCAGATCATAAAGCTCGTCCTTACACTCATCGTGTCAATTCGAATTTAATTTTACTTACTTCACCGATTTTTCAGTTACAAATTTAAAACGACTTTAATTCAACGTGCGTTACAGATGTATCAGGCACAGATTTAAAGAAAAATCTAAGAGGATTTTTCAAAAAGTGATGTATGAAAAATCGTCAAGGCAAAATCTGATACTGCTGCTGTGAGGGAAAACGCCAAAAGAACATTTACATGTTGTTAGGTTCCGCCTGTTTAATATTAATTTTTGAGGAAAGTTATGAATGTAGTTCCTTTAAATGTTTAAGTATTTGAGTTAAAAAGGGAATAAAATTCTTTAAAAAACTGAAATAAGAAAGTCCTAAGTTTCCGGAAAAATTCGTGTTTTATCAAAAGAATTTGGCATCGTCCAAAGGCTCTTACAGTGTTCTTCTTTAGCGGGACAGGATAAACCCAGCCCAACGCTTCAGCGCATTATTTTTTCCTCTCTCACTTCCGAGCCCATTGACCTCAAATACATCAATGTTCCAATGATACATCCACTTTCAGTGAATCAGCCTCTTCGATTAATTGATTCTCGATTATCTTAAACCTGAAATTAATAGTTTCTTCGTCCTAGTGCGCCCATATGATTAGTTTTTTTCCCCAGTGTAAAAAAAAATAAAAATCGATGAACTCATTTTTTTTTTTTATTTTCAATATAGCATCGTCGGCAGCTCATCTCCAGTCTTTGCCTTCCAGCTAGAGGCCACTTGTGGGGTATCTTCATGATTATATGTGGGTTATTATAAATGTGCTTTCGTGTTAAAAAGGCACGCTCGATGAGCATTCAAAAGTTTTCGAAGTTCTCTTCATAACATATGTATCCTCGAGAAAATATTTGAACATCTTTCCTAGAAATCTTCAGGCTTACTACAGTAAATTGCAATGAATGTTCTCTTAAAAAATCGGGGAAAAATAGCTACAGTTTTTTTTGAAACATCGTATTTTTCACAAGAAATTTGGCAACGTGCGAATGCTTACACGGCGTTTTCCCCCAGCACAGTAGTGAATTGCCCTGTTATTTGGACCAGCCTCTTAGTAGTTACGCGCTTATATGCAGTTCGGATCGAATTTTCCCCCAGCAAAAAATAAGAATGAAAGAAAAAAAAAAAAAAAAAAAAAAAAAAAAAAAACATTAGGTATCCTTTTCTCGGGAATTTTTTGCGTTCGTTTGGATCACCGTTTCATTTTCCCCGTTTCATTACTATGTTTTATTCTTCTTCTTCTAGTTATTAACAATAAAAGCTCACGTCTGTGAAATTAAAAGCCGCGCAAAAATTCGAAAACCAGCCGTGCAAATTTTTGGTGTCTACTGTGTGAGCTAGCTTGATTGCCTCCCTTGTGTTTTTTAGCACAGAGTTCGGGATATTACACAAAAAGTTCCATCTTTTCATGATTTTCTGGAAATCGAAATTTCGCCCCAAAACGGACTTTTCTGAAAATTAGCGCATGATGAGAAAATTTTATTAATTCTCGGATCCAACAGCAAACTGCGTATCGTGGACTTTCCGGTCTCATTTTTTAACTTTTCCCCTCAATCCGAGCGACTTCTCATTGAGATCTTAGAGCAAAGCATTGCGATACCTTGTGCCATCGCTCCTTTAATTTCGCAGATGCAACAAGGAAATCCATCAAGCTCGAATAGTTGTATCTCTGCTCACTACATTGTCATCAACGAGCGTTGAGGTCTCTCTTAATTTTTGAAATTTGAGTTAAGCGAGGGTTAAGTTTGCTCGAAATATACTATGATAAGTGCAAATCAACAATCATTTTGAAACGAAGAAAAATAAGAGAAGGTAAAAACATTTTTGAGGTCTCTCAAACGCCCGAAGGGAGCGCGTCTAAAAATTGGTATTTTTGTGAGAGTTGTGTCACTTGCGACCGTGGCCTGCGACGAGGGTGTATTTCTGCCAAACGGAATATGTGCATTAGGACTTGATCCCTGAGACCCATAAGAATATATGCATAACAAGGCTCACGTCATAATGCACATAGTTCCGTTTGGCAGGAATACGTCCATAATATACTGTCAATTTGCGAAATTCCTATTTCTGGATCATTCAGTGTAATTATTTTCATTAATCTACTTTGCTGTCTATTTTTTGACAGTAACTAATTTTAATTTTGTCAACGGTTATCAATTCGTTAAAAAAATAGCTAAATGTACGCACTGCGCTATCAAGTAGACTAACAAATCCTATAAAATTCTTTCAGTAAGAGTTGTATCAAAAACAAATCAATAAATTAAGGATCTACATCTCCAACACCCAATGTCGAAACTCTCAAGTTAGCTGATGCCGTCATTCTTTGAGGGAGAATTTCCTCGGACAAGTCTCTTCGATCATCCTCTTGAGATTCTATAAAAAAGAAGTTGTTAAGTACGATTTAGTGAATTAATGAGCTCAACAACTCGCGTGCTGGAAAGATACGTTGTTTTCCTCAGTACGAAGATATGACACTTGGTGTGTATTTGAATCTGGAATGCAAGCTGATTTTACTGAGGGCAAACAATAGCGATTTGAAATTTTTCATTTAGTCAAAAAAGCGGTCCTATTCCAAAACGTGCCAAACCTTAACTAGTTTAAATTTAGCCCTCAACTTGAAATATAGACTTTCAAATTTACAAATCCGTGAGTGAATAATGAAAGATTATTGTCATCCACTTTATAATCTTTTGTTAAATGCAAAAAAAAAGAAAAAAAAAATTCTGCATTCTTTTGCCCATCCATACCACATTTGATTTCAAAGATTATGTAAAATATCAAGATTTTAATTTATGGTGACATGGCTCACCAAAAGCAAGTTGAGAATTTAGGAGGCCCAGAAGCTTTAAATGTCGTGTGCAAAAGCTCAAACTCTCAATCTCATCATAAATATTTAAAATCTCTTGTCAATTCAACTTTAGTCCCTCTCATGAAGTGGACAAGTTTCCTAACCCCATGAGTGAACTATTGGATCTTGCGGCAGTTTAAATGATTTCATATTACGTATGTAAACGCGTCAAGTTATTGAGTAACTCGATTTGTTTTAAACACGTCGATTGTATTTCCGATCAAAATTTGCATTCTGTCTTGGTTGCCGAGTTACCCGGCAAAATCATGAGTTACGATGTAGATTTAAACAGATTGAACATGGGATATCCAATCCATAATCCATCCATCCATGGATATCCATTATGAATGTCCTTTGGCGTTTTATTTAAAAGTAAATGATGTACGTGAGCATGGAGGGAAATTTTGGCGGGCCTTGTTATCTTGCAGTTAAGGTACACAAAATTTCCTCAGAGAGTAAATAAATGAAACTTCGGAGTGTCAAAAATTTCAGATAAAACAAACACTTACCGAAGCTTACCATAAAATAGAATTTTCCGGAAGGATGAGAAAATGTCATCAGGGTCATTGGAAACAGCTTATGGTAAATTTTATTATGATTATGACAAATTCTACCATAAGAAGGAACACCACGAAAAATGTGGTCTTAATACTCAAAGTTACGGGATAGTAGGAGAGTCACCAGATGGGTCCACACTTTTCTGAGAAGAAAATCAAAGTTCGATTTATATTTAAAAAAAAAAAAAAAAAAAAAAAAAAAAAAAAAAAAAAAAAAAAAAAAAAAAAAAAA